GGATAGAGACCAGAGAAAGCCTCTTTGAAGGTACATTTTGAGATGTAAGAAATGAGAAAAGGCAGGTGGCAAAACCAGGGTGAGACAGGCGCTGCTCTCTGCTCTCCATCTTTCCAAAAATAGAATCAAAAGGAAGGACTCAGAGAACTGCTTTTCTTTTTTTTGTTTCTTTTCTTTTCTTTTTTTTTTTTTAAGAGGCAGAGTCTTAGTAGAGTCCCTCAGTAGAGTACTATGGCATCACAGCTCACAGCAATCTCTAACTCTTGGGCTTAAGCAATTCTCTTGCCTCAGCCTCCTAAGTAGCTGGGACTACAGGTGCCCCCCACAACACCCAGCTATTTTTTTGTTGCAGTTGTCATAGTTGTTTAGCTGGTCCTGGCTGGTTTTGAACCCCCTAGCCTTGGTGCATGTGGCTGGCCCTGTAACCACTATGCTACGGGTGCCAAACCAGAACTGCTTTTCTGAATCACAGCCTTATTTGAAATGTCTCGGTCTATTACAGAGGTAAAGACATTTTGTAACATGAATTTGCTCAAGAAGCATTTTCTGTGCTGCTCACATAGAAGGCACAACACAAAGGGATCTCAGGAGCAGCGGGCACCACTGGCTGGCAGTGGGTGACACACTAGAGGCCCTAGACTGAATGACCACAGTGGACATCAGTGTCTCCATCACATGAGCTTCCAGAGCTGTGAATCACCGCATGTCCTGTGACGGCCAGCACCGTGTGAGTCTGGGGAGAAGCTCCCAAGTTCCAACACACACGGAAAATCATGTGTTCCTATATCCCATACATTGCGAGAGATGACCTACTAACTCCAGATTGATTGTTGGATTCTTCTAGAATATTTGTAACTCTCAATTCCACAGGCCTTTAACAGCAATTTTAAGTTTGAGCTTCAAAATCTAAGAACACGTTGGAGCGTCCTCAGGCAAAGGCTCCAAACTTATTTAGGTTTTAGTTCTTCATTAGACTAATGGTCACGGAACTGAGGACCTTCTCTAAATATATGGTTTGGAGAAGCAAATAAAGGCAGAAGGGGGTCTGCTCTCTCTGCCACACATACCCTCACGTCTCGTGTCAATGTCACGTTGGAGATCAAGTGGCAAAGTCAGTGGCACACTCTTTATCTCAAATTCTGGCCAGAGAGACACTGATGGCAATTAATTATCAGCTTAATATTCCTTCCAGAATTCTTATACTGTAAAAGATAATGACATTGCATAAAATTTTCTTCTGAGCCAGTTCATAAAATATTCAAGCTCTGGCTGAATACAAGAAGAAACTGTGGTGGTTTAATCCTTCCCTAACGAGAACAGGACAGCCGCGTCTCCCCCTCTGTCTGAGAGAAGCACCGGGGTTTTACAAAGTGCACCCAGAGGAGTAATTTCCTTTTCATCAGAAAGGAAAAGGAGGATGTTGTCTTCGAGCAAAGGAGTAGAGAAAATCAAGAAACTTTAAACATCTGCTAAAATAAAAAATATTTTCCCACGTTAATGGATAAACAGGCAATCCCCTGTTTTAACTACAGATACTAAAATGCAGAAAGGCCAAGGAACAAGATGCCAAGGGGGCTTTTGACACAGTGATGAGGACTCTACAGGGACTCACTATTTTATTCCTGTGCCACTGGGATACCAGAGGTGGCAAGGGGACAATGACAATTGTTGAGGAGTCAACCTCTTTTGTAAGACATTTACTTCTTTTACAATATTTTATTTTGATTGTATTCTTGCCTTTTTTGTTTATTGCCCATTCATATTAATCATTTCAATAAAGGGTGTTTTCACATCATTCACTGTCCTGTCAGCACATGGGACGTGTGAGTCCCAGGACAATTCACACTGCCGTGGAGAAAGTATCAAAGACAAAATTACACTGAGCAACTAAAAGTCTTGTATAGAAAATGACTAATACTGGCACCTGTAGCACAGTGGTTACAGCACAGGCCGCATGCACCAAAGCTGGTGGGTTTGAACCCGGCTCGGGTGGCTAAACAACAATGACAACTGCGACAAAAAGTAGCCAGGCATTGTGTGGGGCATCTGTAGTCCCAGCTACTCAGGAGGCTGAGGTGAGAGAATCGCTTAAGCCCAAGAGCTTGGGGTTGCTGTGAGCTGTGATGCCACAGTACTCTACCAAGGGCGACAGCTTGAGACTCTGTATCAAAAAAAAAAAAAAATTACTAATACAGAATCAGGGAATGATGGAGAGTCTGGGCCTTGAGGCATGTTTCTGTTGTGCTGAGAGCCCAGCCAACCTTCAGGGACATTGCTCTGATGACAACAAACTCCAGAAGGGAAAATTCTCATAAAATGTCACAAACTGACAACACAAAAACATCCCTCCACATCTTCTCCTCTTTCTTAAGCCCCTGAATT